TTTTTCCTTTCTGAACTCGCTGAATCTTTCTCCAAATGCAGCTTGCATTGCCACAATTGCAAGGTGTAAATAATCACAATTTATTTGATTGTTCTTTTCTTTGAACTCTCTCAGGGAGGGGAAGTGAGAGAGCTACCTCTCTGTACATCTCTGGCAAACGCTGTCATCTTGCGCTCAAACGCCAGAAATCCTCCAGCAACTGCAGGGCCGCACTTCCCTTTCCCTGGAGATTTTTATTCAGCGTGGTTAAGTGACTTGTCATATCCACCATGAAATAAAACTTTTCCAGCCAATCGAGGTCTCCCAGTTCAGGATAGCTGAGGCCTTTGCTTTCCAAGAAGGTTTTCCAGGCAAGCAGCGAAGCGTTTCAGCACATCTCGCCAAAGAGAGCCACAATAAAGAGGCTGAAGAGCCGCGGGTTGCCGACCCCGTCCTAGACGACCACTCGAGGGATCCCATCGTCGCCAGAATTGTTGTGGAAAAATTATCTTTTAAAGCTCAGTGAGTGTAAAATAAATACTTAACATCAGTTCTGAAAGTTATTACATATTTATTCCTGCAGGAAGGCGGTTTCTCTGAACAGAGTGTCTAATACAGTCTGTTACAGGGAAGCTCAATGGACAGAGTGTGTGAGTCCTTCTTATACTCAGCCTACAACAAAGAAGACAGAATGCTCAAACAGATAAGGGGAAACAGGATACAATTCACATCAGGATAACAGCCCTTTGGTCCCAGGTCACATCTGGGTTGGCAACCAAAAGGTTTACAACCATGCAATAAACGGTCTGGGGTCACAACCACACAAATGACTGCATACAATGACATGAAAGCATCAGCTAAAGAACTTAAGGGGTGCTATTATAAAAATTGCCACCACAGCAATAATACTGACTGTACTGCCGCCTCTGTAAGGCGTGGTTCTGATGGTACCGCCGCCACCTCTGTAAGGAATGGTTCTGATGGTACCGCCGCCTCTGTAGGGCGTGGTTCTGATGGTACCATTGCCTCTGTAAGCAATAATACTGATGGTACTGCGGCCTCTGTAAGGCGTGGTTCTGATGGTACCACCACCTCTGTAAACAATAATACTGACGGTACCGCCGCCTCTGTAAGGTGTGGCTCTGATGGTACCGCCGCCTCTGTAAGGCATGTCTGCAAACACCCTCGCCTTTCCTCGGGATTTCTTAATCTGTGGTCTTAATTCCAAAGTGCTTCCTCACATTTCTTGTCAACTTTTTAGTGTCATGGTTTTCTGTTCAGCATGGCCCTAGTGTCTTCCATTTTGTTTAGTTAACAAAACAATAAAAGCCACTTAAGTGACCATTAGAGGCCAGCCAACAGATCACTGCATTTCAGGCCGCTGGAGGTCACCCAGGAAGATTGTCCCAGTGGTTTGGTGCAAAACAGCTAGAAGCCACCTCACCACAAGTTTTGCACCATGGAACTAAAAGGCTCAAAATGCCAGAGGACCTGAGAGACCCTCCTGGTTCATACGTTGGAAGCATGTCAGACAAGCAGGCTGGTGCTTTCAAAGCAAAAAGATGATTTTGAAAATCAGTACGGAAACTGTTGGGTCACCATAGTATATGTTAAAATCTAATGTAAGGACATTAATAGGTGTAATGTGTTCTCCTGGTCAGCACTCAGTTCTGAACCAGATGACGTATAAGGTTTGTAGACCAGAGAGGAGAGCATTCCAATAGCCTGGTCTGCTGGATGGAGAAGACTGTGCTAGTCTCTCACAGAGACAAAAGGATGCGTTTCAGAGATATTTATGAGATGATAAAAAGCTCTTAATGTAGATGTGTGGGTTTAAACAACTGCCTGTGGAGGGCATGCTCAAAGAGAAAATTGTCTGATCTGCTCCATGTGACTGATGATGCAGAAACACACTCCTGTGCTAAATGCTTTTAAGCTTGTATCTAGCCTGTATCTCTGTGTTACAGACAGTGGAAGCAGCTCACCGCTGCCCAAGTTCGCCTCCTCGCCCAAACCCAACAACAGCTACATGTTCAAGCGCGAGCCACCAGAGGGCTGTGAGAAGATTAAAGCTTTTGAGGAGATGAGGTAAAGACTGACAGTTGTGTCGACTCTCTTCTGCCTCAATAATGTGTGATCCTCACTGGCACTGCATATGTTCCTCTGCAGCTCCAGGCAGTCCACATCGGCATCAGCCCCCCTCTTCTCCTGCCCTGACAAAAACAAGGTCAACTTCATCCCAACGGGTTCAGCTTTTTGTCCTGTCAAACTCCCTGGCTCCCTGCATCTCACCCCGGCTTCAGGACCTGAAGGTGATGAGGACAACGCTGAGGCAGGTCCCGGGTCAGAGCCCCAGGGTGCCTCATCATTCTACGGTGCCCGCACTCAGGTCTCCACGAGCACCAGCACAGATGACCCTCCGGAAGAACCCGGATCGCCCTCAGAGACTGCAGACCCCGAGACAGACAGCCTGGCCATCAGCTAGACCTGAGCAGAGCTGGACTCTAGCTCCAGGATCCACGCTAGCACCCACCGCCCATTGCCACTAACTGTCCCACCAACTCCTCCCTCTGCTCTGCCAGAGGAGTCTGTCTCTCTGTGCTGACCCCCTCCACCCCCTTTGTATCTCTGCATGACATAGCCACAATGTCCCAGTTAACCACCACTGCAGACCTGCCACGTTAATATTCTGTCCTGCATAATGCCTGAGCTGTTAGCAGGGAAGGACCTGATGGTTAAAGGTTAGCATATGCAGGCATTGGAGGAAGAATGGAGCACTATGGATGGGGTGAGGGGTATGCATTTTAAACTGGTAGTATATTTCTGATTAAATTATGTGTCGTGTTCCGTTTCAACAATCACAGTATGAATAAGCTCTCTCCTTATCGCTCTAGTTAAAAGTTATGCTAATATGTTAATTGATGTACAAATACTACATCTGCCTAAACAAACAGTACTGTCTTTGCACTGTTTATGTATGCATATACACACACACATGTATATATATATATACATATATACATATATACACACATACACACGGATATACATATATATATATATATATATATACACACACACACGGAAAAGAAAGAAAACATGCTTGTAAGAAAATCCCAAACCGTCTATTGCTGTGTTATGTACCGGACAGGAGAAACAGCTGTACGATTGAGGATTATGTTTACACTATCCAGGTCGCATTGTTAAACCCCACCAAAAAAAAAAAAATGCAACGACACAATGATTTTGGCAAAGACTAACACGGCCACAGATTGGTTGCCCAGTGTCTGTATCTGGCCTTGCTTCAGGTATTTCACAATCAGAGTCTATACTCAGGTAATTTGGAATGTATGCCCATACAAATATCTGCAGCTTGACAAAGCGGAGCAGATCCGCCGTCATTTATTCCTGGTTTTTCTCATTCCCAGACAAACCATTCCATGGAGTTCCAGGGTCCAGTCCGAGACTCGACCTATGATTGGAGCTGTAGATGGTGAAGGGTTGAAGTAGTGGGCCTACCTTTATGGTTTCCTTTTTGACTGGTGGTGGGATACTGTAACTGTACCGCACACACTGTGACTAGGGCATATGTGGTTGTGCGTGTATTGATGGGAGCATGCTGGACATGGAGGATGTATAGTGTTTGTCTGTTTTTAGGTCTGATGATCATGTGTGATTGGCTTTCCTGAGCCTGTGGACAGTGGACCAGAAGTGGACAAGTCTGCAGCTCCATCACATAAACACACAATCAAGCCCAAGCATTTGGTCCATTACATCAGAATCAGCTCTAATGGCCAGGTGTGTTGAACACATGAGGAATCTGACTCTGATACAGTGGCTCTCTGGTACAGTGGCTCTCAGTGTGTATGTACAGTGCTCTTCCATAAGGCTGAGAGAACAAGAAAAGAAAGAATGTGCATTAGGAAAGTAAAAATAAAGTATTTATAAAATATACAGTATGTGTATATACACACAGTTTACATGGAGTTTTAGGTACATATACAAGTACATTTACAGGTATTGTATTGAGGGTTTTCCTGTTATACAGTCATGGATTAACTGATCAGAGTGACAGCCCGGACAAAGAAACTGTCCCTGTGCCTGGTTGTCTTAGTGCACAGTGACCTGTAGCACCGTCCAGAGGGGAGGAGTTCAAACAGATTGTGTCCAGGGTGTGAGGGGTCTGCAGAAATCTTCTCAGCCCTCCTTTTGACCCGTGAGGTATACAGTTCCTCCATGGAGGGCAGGCTGCACCGATGGTTCTTTCTGCAGTCCTGACTGTCCACTGGAGTCTGTTCCTGTCCTGTTTGGTTGCTGAGCCAAACCAGACAGTGATGGAGGTGCAGAGAACAGACTCAATGATTCCTCTGTAGAACTGTGTCAGCAGCTCCTGGGGCAGGTCGAACTTCCTGAGCTGGAGCAGGAAGTACATCCTCTGCTGTGCCTTCTTGGTGCTGATGTTGGACATCCACTTCAGGTCCTGGGAGACAGTGGAGCCTCCTGAGGTCCACTGTCATCTCCACTGTTCTGAGCGTGTTCAGCTCCGGGTTGTTGTGACCACACCACAGGGCCAGCTGCTCAACCTCCCGTCTGTAGGCCGACTCGTCACCGTCTCGGATGACACTAATGTGTCATCTGCGAACATGCATGTGCAGATTGGAGGCGTAGTTGTACAAACTGTTTGTGTCGGGTTAAACCACAGTTGCTAAACCAGGGGTTTTCAGCTAATTGTGGCCATTCTGACTAAGAAGTAACCTGAGGGCCTCTGCGCTGGGATGGATAGATCGAATGGGCACCATTTTAATC